AAAAATATTTTATTAAATTTACTTTATTTATCAAGTTGTTGGTAATTCATTGTAAAATCTATAAAAGAATAAAATTTAAAACATAATATTTTATTTTTTTCAAAAAGGGTTTGCTTGATTTTTTTTTAAGTATAGGACCTATTTCATTTTTTTTCAAAAGTCTAGGTGGGGCAAGGCCCACCCTGGCTCCGTCCCTGGATGTATCCCTAAACATCAAATTGTAATAGTAGTAAACCACGGCACGCGTCCCACAATAATGAAGTTTTAAATATGTGGTTTTCATTTGTTAAAGGTATATGACTTTAATTTACCCAAAAAAAAAAAAAAAAGTAGATGACTTTAGAACTGAGCACGTGGCGGAAACATGATCCACATAAGATCCAAGTCTAGTGTATAGTGGTTTAATCCAAAAACAATGAGTCTTTGTGTATATTACTAATGATATTAACTGGACATCATTACATCCGATCTGGATGACTTAATTTGTCTCGTCCTTTGGTGAAAAGGGCAAATTAGCTCTTGTGCTCATCAAATTATAGCAAATTAGCCCCTCATTTACAAACAGACGAAAATCAGCCTTTAAACTCTTCAAATAGCCGCAAATCAGCCCTTATTTGACTGATGACGTCAACCACTCGGTTAACTCAAACGGAGAGCTGGTTTCGGTGGGTTACACAAGTGACCTGACACTAAGTTGGTGCTGATTTGGAAAATTTTTTCTTGTTGTAAACACAAGGTGCTTACATGGAATGTTATGAACATCATTACATCTGGATATATTAAAATATATAATTGATTTTTAAATTTAAATATTAATATTTAATAAATTAAAATTTTAATTTTAAATATAAATTAAAATTTTAGTTTTTTTTTTAAAGTTAAAAGACTAATATATACTAATTTTAAAATTTAATTAAAAATTTAAAATAAATTTAACCACTTAACATAAAATTTTGCTTAATTTTTATACATCAAGCGTGCGTAATGGCTTTTTGCTTGACTTGAACTAGAAAACGCGTTGATGTGGACAATTCCATCTGAGGAGACTATCCTTGCCGTTGACTTGATGTTTTAGGTTTTAGTCCTTACTACGTGGATCAGTAGATCTCGAGAGACATCATTACTCTGTCTCACCACTACTACTTTTTATGCATGGAAAGTGACAAATAGCTTTCTGATTAACTTGATATTTTTTGAAAATAGGCAATGGATTGGCTTGACTTGATTAAAAATTAAAAAATGTGATTATGTGTAGTACGATTCCATTAGACGAACCTATCCTTGCCGTTCATATTAAGTTTTTACTCCTGATCTTTACCATGTGGATCAGTGGATCCCCGGCATTATATATTTTGAGTTCGTTCGGTGTAGTTTTTCGAATGTTGCAGTTTTTTTAAGTGTTTTAGTTTTTTTATATAATT